AATCTTTTAAATGTACTGATTTGGTGATTAGAAAAAAGAGTTGTTCTGCTTTTATTTGGGGAGTTGGGGGGGCTGATATACAATTTTTAAAGGATTTTTAAGGATTCTTTGATGGAAAAAAAGAACAGCATTTATTTGTAAAAGAAAAAGAAAAGTCCTTACTGCCACTTTTGATCAATTTCACACATCCTTGCTGTATTAAAAAAATCGTACCGTCCCCAAATGTTTGAACAGTACTGTTTTGATATAAACATTAAGCCAGATATGGACATTGTTGGGTAGTTTCTAGGATGTTGCTAGGGGGCTGCTTACAGACATTCAATGTAAGTCCAGGGGTTTTTCTGCCATGTTTATTGCTAGCCAAATGCTTAGAAAAGTGATAACTCTCCCCAATGAGGTATCCTTCATGTCTACAGCAGAAATTGTGCCAGCAACTAAAAATTATCCTAATGCGTGCAAATTTTCATGAGAATCAAAGCTATATTACAGTATTTTCTTTTCATCCCATACACATGTAATACATGTACGTATATTTCCATATATGAAATATATGGTCATATGAAGCAAAAACCTTATTATAAACCTCATTATAAATTGGAACAATTTCATATATTAACATATATAACTAGACCATAAAAAAGTATATGTTCATGTATGTGTAATACATTTTTGACATTCGTCATGTACATGTATCCATTCTAAAACCATGTTGGCATTATATAAGTAAATATAAAAGACAGACATGTATTTTTAGCCACTTTTAGAAAGACAAGTTGTTACATATAACACCACATTAAAAAATCATCATATTGATGTTATTAACATATGTACAGTACATGTACACATTTTATTATGGGGATTTTATATATGTTATAAACGTGTATCTTCATCTACCCAGAGAATGTACGCACTCTATGTTAAAATGATATATGGCCTTATATGTAACATATATGACAATATCACTATTGATATAGGGCAATATATGTCATATATTACATTTCTGTATGGGATGAACCAGGCCAACTAGATCATCAAAATACAATTCAGAGAAAGCGTCTGTAAGTGTCTGGAAGACAACAACATAAAAGACCTTGATACAGAATCCTCAAGTTCTTAGAAATACCAAGAAAAGGAAAATTGACTTCCAGGAACCTGGAGCCATATGTTGTCTTGATTCACTCTGAAAACAGCTATAAAACTCGAGGCATAAAATTTACAGCTCTGAAAATACCAATGCACTCCAACATCAGGCACTTTAATGGCTATAGCAGTATGAGGAAAAAGTCAATATGGCTGGTAAGAGTTCTCACTTGAAATTCAAAGGATTTATTGCCTCCCAATTTACAATTTGCTTGGTATTTTACATATCAATTCAATACCGGCCTATGTGATTTATTAGGTTATTATAACCTAAGGTCTCTATAATTATGGATGCTCAGGAAAAGTGATTAAATTAGCGTAAAGGCTTGCTTAGCTATACATTTTTTTCAATTCAAGCCCACGTTTAATGAAGATCCTGAAAGTAGGGGCTTACACTTTTAGAGCAATTCAAACATTAGCTCATCATCTTAATTGGGAGCACAAAGGCGAGAGGCACAGCTCAATAAAAGCCAGTTCAGCAGTTCCTTTAAAACAGTAGTTAGGGAGCTCTCCTCGAAGTGCCGTAGCAGGCCTCCAGTCCCCCTGCATTAGCCAAGCCTGGAGCCCGGCCCAGAATCCCACTTACTTACCAGACTTACACAGGCACAGACAGATGCTGCGGGCAGATTTATTTTATTTACCACTATCTAAAAGCCTCTACCATTCCTCCTCCTCCTCACAAGTGAGGTGTAGTCTGATGGATCGTCTTTAGCCTATATGTTTCTTCAAATATGGGCACTTTTGACCAAGTGGGCTTTCTTAAACTCTCTTAAAATGCTCTTTTATGCATTTTAGCAGACGCTTTTATCCAAAGCGACTTACAGTGCATTCAGGCTATACATTTTTTACCAGTATGTGTGTTCCCTGGGAATTGAACCCACAATATTTTGCGCTGCTAACGCAATGCTCTACCACTGAGCCACTCTTTTCAAACTCAAGATCATTTAACGTCTACTAACAATGTCCACTTATGGACATAACATGCATCATAGGCGAATTCTGCCCCCCGAACCGTCATGACCAAATTTCTCAAAATACTGTTCAATTGTGGTAGACATTATTACATTTTAAATGTTTTTTCCAATGTTTATGTATTATACATTTATTAGAATATAATTTATATTGATTATAAATCTTAAAAAAAGAACAAATGACAACTTTTATATGAATTAGTCAAATGAGTGATATTCACATTGATTTCCGTTGTTTTCTTCACACATCACATGTCTCATATTTCATCACAAGCATAATCTTCACTGACACTGACTGTTGTTAAACAATTACACTAACAAAATAAAACTTTTTAGGGGCAAAATGGTTGATTGTGGTGGATATTACTTTACAAATGAGGCAGTCATTGTCATGCCTCGTTGTATATTAAATATTGACTGGTCTGTGTCTGAGACAAGGATAAAACAATAAAGTCTGCATATGCAAGGCAAAAATTAGCAAAAATAAATGGAATTTTGTCAGGACCACTATCCTCAAAGGCAGAATGGTTCTGTTCTGGGCAAAAAAACTCCATGCCCACCCATGCAGCCTAGCATGGATAAGAGCTGGGAGATCAGTAGTCTTGCATAGCCAGACTTTCAGACTGACGGCAGAGCATTGGCAACTTTGAATGGCCAAGGCCTGCCCAAGAGGCCTTATAACTGTCAGGTAAAGCTACCAATCACGTTTCGTTTTGTGCTGCGTCATGTTTAGGGGTGTGGAAATGTCCCCACAATAACAGACCGGTGTGTGAAACTCTTGGACGTATTTTAAAGAGTCTATGCAGTGAAAAATATTGACTGGTCTGTGTCTGAGACAAGGATAAAACAATAAAGTCTGCATATGCAAGGCAAAAATTAGCAAAAATAAATGGAATTTTGTCAGGACCACTATCCTCAAAGGCAGAATGGTTCTGTTCTGGGCAAAAAAACTCCATGCCCACCCATGCAGCCTAGCATGGATAAGAGCTGGGAGATCAGTAGTCTTGCATAGCCAGACTTTCAGACTGACGGCAGAGCATTGGCAACTTTGAATGGCCAAGGCCTGCCCAAGAGGCCTTATAACTGTCAGGTAAAGCTACCAATCACGTTTCGTTTTGTGCTGCGTCATGTTTAGGGGTGTGGAAATGTCCCCACAATAACAGACCGGTGTGTGAAACTCTTGGACGTATTTTAAAGAGTCTATGCAGTGAACTTTACATATTTCACATACTTTTGAAAATCCAGCGCTTAGTTGATTTTGATAAGCGCTCATTGTCACAATTGTCAACACGACAGTTTTCTTCTTCCATGAGGGGGTTTGGCGACAATGCATCTTTGTTTCTAGGCGGAACGTTAAAGAACGCGACACACACATCTCCCGGAAATCCTGTATAATTCAACCAATCAGATGACGACTTCGAAACTCCTGAAGTGTTTCCAGTTAAGTGTGCCATATGCATCAGACATTCAGCCTACAGTGACGTGACGCCTGAGGGTGAGACTCAGTAACCCCCTTAGGGTAAACAGAACAGAACCAACATAAATTTAGCAGATGTCATTAATGTTCTTAATAACAATTTAATGTAACAACATAATTCAAGAGAAAGGAGTCTGATTCAACAAGGAATAACAGAAGGCCAAGTCCTGACTGTGGAAGATAGGAGGAGCTGGGGATGGAAAAGGGTAATTAGCTCCTGAGCAATGCAGTAAAGCTGCTGAAATAATACTGAACGGACCTTTTTAAAATGCTTTAAAAAATCCAACCCATAAATATAAAAGTAGTTATAGATTTACACAATTCATTTTTGATATTGTATATAAAAAGTACACACATATTCTTTGACAAGCATAATTGAAAGGACACACTAATTTCACATCAGAGCGTCTGGGTATTTTGCATTAAGAAGTCCTGTAGGGATGACAGTGGATGTCCCGAGGAAGACATGCCTTATAATCAAGCTGTACCAATGCCAGATCTCCATCATATGCCTGACTGATATTTCCCAGTTGGTTTTGAACTGCTGCACGTGGATGTAAACAATGCAAACAAGGAGAGCCCTTCAAAAGCGACACGTTACTCCAAAGAATAAGGCTAGAATTTACATGTCTTACATCAGGTTACACCATGTGAATCCAATGCGTTCAGGCCAAAGGAATGCACACTGATGCAATGGGTCTTCACTGAACCCCCATCTTCATTCATGCTCAGACTCTAAATCTACTGCTCATGTCAGGTACATTCAAAATATACAGAAGCCCTCGATCGCTCTCTCACATGCTCTCAGAAACCATACAAAACTACCTTGAGTAAGTCAACTATCGGTTTTTACAGTACACAATAAAATGAATAATATAACACAGTCAGAAATGAAGAAGGCAAAATGATGTCACTTAATGAATATAGATCAATAAATCAATAAATAAACATTTAATTACAAATAGTGTCATGAAGTATCATGAAGTAATGGTTTAATAAAATACTGTGACAATATTCATAGTATATCTCTCATAACTTGTTGGTTATGCATTTAAATGCATGCTTGAATATATTCCAGATCAGGAAAGGGCAGTTTTGAACAAAATGCACAAAACATTCCACTGTCATTAGCATTTGGTATTTCATCACAATGCTCTGCTTTAGTAAATAATACTACTGCTTATTCACTACTTGAATACAATACTAAATAGAATACTAAAGGAAAACTTACTGATACTGCATGAATATTTTGAATATGGCTCTATGTAATCTGACTGGCTTTTCCAGTTTATGTTTAAAGGCGAGGACATATTGAATAGAGGTTTTGGAACAAACATATCTTACAAAGACAATAACAGTGTAGAGGCTGGGTAAACAATGTAATAGGAAAAGATAAGAACAAAAAAAATTACCTGGTAATTTGGATGGAGTAGAAAATAATCTGGACATCCGGCCACAGCCATGATACACGCTTTGTAACGTCTCTCTCGGATATCACATCTACCTCAGATAAATGAGGAAAGAGTCTGAAATTAAATCAAAACAAAAACGTTACATCAAATGTTTCTTCAAGGTAAAAAAAAGGCAATCTCTTTCTGAGTTGAGTCTATGTGGCTACTACCAATATAGCACAGAGCACTTCTTAACCCAAATAGTTCCACAGGGTCAGTAAACAACATAAGAATAAGAGCAGGGAAATACAGAATCCGAGCTGACCAACAGCTTTGCAGATATGGTGTATGAAACACTCTCTAGATTGTCTTCTTAAAACTCAAAGGCACTTGGAAAGCAACTGTATTTGCAGTGTGAGGAGAGAAGGAAGATGTTAAACAAACAGATCATACGGAGTTCCAAATAGTGAACATTTCCACTGAGACCAAAATTATATATTTTCACTCATATAATGGTACCTTATTTTCAGAGGGTAAGATTATGTAGTCTAGCGATCTTAAATGTACGTATTTATTTTGCTGCTTCATTTTGAAACAGAAAACTAAGAAGACACAACTGGAGTTCACTGAAAACTTTGCACTTTTAAGGCCTGTTCACACCAAAGATGATAACTATAAAGTTTTAACTATAAAGTTGTAATAGTTGTTAGTTCTATGAGAATAGATCCACACAACATCTATAACGATAAAGACAAAGAGAAACAAAATCATTGGAATCCTTTTCAGGGTTGTTGTTGTTTTTTTTCTTTGTTTGTTTGTTTTTCAGCTGATAAATCATAAATACATTGCGAAACAATCAAAATCCACATGGCTTTAAAGAGCCTAAAGAGACTTAGTCGTGGCATAATGGTAAGAGAGTCGGACTTGTAACCCAAAGGTCGTGGGTTCGAGTCTTGGCACTGGCAGGGATTGTAGGTGGGGGGGGGGAGAATGTACAGTACTCTCTCTTCCACACTGAGGTGAGACCCTTGAGCAAGGCACTGAACCCCTAACTGCTCCCCGGGTGCCACAGCAAAATTGGCTGCCCACTGCTCTGTGTGTGTGTTTGTTCACTACTCACTGACAAGCATAATTGAAAGGACACACTAATTTCACATCAGAGCGTCTGGGTATTTTGCATTAAGAAGTCCTGTAGGGATGACAGTGGATGTCCCGAGGAAGACATGCCTTATAATCAAGCTGTACCAATGCCAGATCTCCATCATATGCCTGACTGATATTTCCCAGTTGGTTTTGAACTGCTGCACGTGGATGTAAACAATGCAAACAAGGAGAGCCCTTCAAAAGCGACACGTTACTCCAAAGAATAAGGCTAGAATTTACATGTCTTACATCAGGTTACACCATGTGAATCCAATGCGTTCAGGCCAAAGGAATGCACACTGATGCAATGGGTCTTCACTGAACCCCCATCTTCATTCATGCTCAGACTCTAAATCTACTGCTCATGTCAGGTACATTCAAAATATACAGAAGCCCTCGATCGCTCTCTCACATGCTCTCAGAAACCATACAAAACTACCTTGAGTAAGTCAACTATCGGTTTTTACAGTACACAATAAAATGAATAATATAACACAGTCAGAAATGAAGAAGGCAAAATGATGTCACTTAATGAATATAGATCAATAAATCAATAAATAAACATTTAATTACAAATAGTGTCATGAAGTATCATGAAGTAATGGTTTAATAAAATACTGTGACAATATTCATAGTATATCTCTCATAACTTGTTGGTTATGCATTTAAATGCATGCTTGAATATATTCCAGATCAGGAAAGGGCAGTTTTGAACAAAATGCACAAAACATTCCACTGTCATTAGCATTTGGTATTTCATCACAATGCTCTGCTTTAGTAAATAATACTACTGCTTATTCACTACTTGAATACAATACTAAATAGAATACTAAAGGAAAACTTACTGATACTGCATGAATATTTTGAATATGGCTCTATGTAATCTGACTGGCTTTTCCAGTTTATGTTTAAAGGCGAGGACATATTGAATAGAGGTTTTGGAACAAACATATCTTACAAAGACAATAACAGTGTAGAGGCTGGGTAAACAATGTAATAGGAAAAGATAAGAACAAAAAAAATTACCTGGTAATTTGGATGGAGTAGAAAATAATCTGGACATCCGGCCACAGCCATGATACACGCTTTGTAACGTCTCTCTCGGATATCACATCTACCTCAGATAAATGAGGAAAGAGTCTGAAATTAAATCAAAACAAAAACATTACATCAAATGTTTCTTCAAGGTAAAAAAAAGGCAATCTCTTTCTGAGTTGAGTCTATGTGGCTACTACCAATATAGCACAGAGCACTTCTTAACCCAAATAGTTCCACAGGGTCAGTAAACAACATAAGAATAAGAGGAGGGAAATACAGAATCCGAGCTGACCAACAGCTACGCAGAGATGGTGTATGAAACTCTCTCTAGATTGTCTTCTTAAAACTCAAAGGCACTTGGAAAGCAACTGTATTTGCAGTGTGAGGAGAGAAGGAAGATGTTAAACAAACAGATCATACGGAGTTCCAAATAGTGAACATTTCCACTGAGACCAAAATTATATATTTTCACTCATATAATGGTACCTTATTTTCAGAGGGTAAGATTATGTAGTCTAGCGATCTTAAATGTACGTATTTATTTTGCTGCTTCATTTTGAAACAGAAAACTAAGAAGACACAACTGGAGTTCACTGAAAACTTTGCACTTTTAAGGCCTGTTCACACCAAAGATGATAACTATAAAGTTTTAACTATAAAGTTGTAATAGTTGTTAGTTCTATGAGAATAGATCCACACAACATCTATAACGATAAAGACAAAGAGAAACAAAATCATTGGAATCCTTTTCAGGGTTGTTGTTGTTTTTTTTCTTTGTTTGTTTGTTTTTCAGCTGATAAATCATAAATACATTGCGAAACAATCAAAATCCACATGGCTTTAAAGAGCCTAAAGAGACTTAGTCGTGGCATAATGGTAAGAGAGTCGGACTTGTAACCCAAAGGTCGTGGGTTCGAGTCTTGGCACTGGCAGGGATTGTAGGTGGGGGGGGGGAGAATGTACAGTACTCTCTCTTCCACACTGAGGTGAGACCCTTGAGCAAGGCACTGAACCCCTAACTGCTCCCCGGGTGCCACAGCAAAATTGGCTGCCCACTGCTCTGTGTGTGTGTTTGTTCACTACTCACTGCTGCGTATGTGTGTGCACTTGGATGGGTTAAATGAAAAGCACAAGTATAGGACACCATACTTGGCTACAAGTCACGTCACTTTCAATTACCATGTACAATATGACTGACAAGCAGAAACAGCTCCAAAACTTCAAGTTGTCTGCTTTCAGAATTTGACTGTGGTCGTGGTCTTTTTTGTTAAATTTCTAGTCACCTTTATCTGTATAGCATTTTATACAATACTGATTGTGTCAAAGCAGCTTTACAGTGTCAAACAGGAAAATAGTTTGTCAATAATGCAAGAGGACGATAACAAAGAGTCATTTTTCCAGATAAAGTCAGTTCATTGATGATTCAGTGATGTCATCATCCAGTTCAGCCCTCGTCCAATAGTGTCTGTGCAATCATTCAAGTGTCCCCAACTAAGCAAGCCAAAGCCAACAGTGGCAAGGAACCAAAACTCCTTCGGTGACAGAAATGGAGAAAAAACCTTGGGAGAAACCAGGCTCAGTCAGAGGGCAAGTTCTCCTAAAACCAGCATGGCATGGTTTAATGCCAGGCTGCAACACAGGTCAGATTATGCAGAGGACCCCATGGTTTTGTGCCGATGGTCATCAAGGTGACGAGGTCGGGCGCATCTAGTTGACATAGTCTCCACTGACATTCAGGGGTTTAGAGGTCGTCTCTAGGTGCTGATCCACCATCTGGTCTGAATATGGACTGGATCCGTTTGACAGCGGATTCCTTCTATAGTTTCAGAGCCCTCACTGATGTTTATTTTTTTATTTTTTGAGCAGTCATGAATCAGTGATTCAGAACTCAAGAGGTGTGTGGACTTTTTCTAGTCCTCTTAAATCTACACTATTATACTTTTGGGCCTTTAGTGCAGGGGAGTTCAATCCTTCTCCTGGAGAGCCAACGTCCTGCAGATTTTATTTCCAATCAGCTCCTACTCGCCTGACTGGAAGTTTCTAGTGAGTCTGAAGACTTTGATTAACTGATTAAGGTGTGTTTAATTAGGGTTGGAGCTAAACTCTGCAGCACAGTGGCCCTCCAGGAACAAGTCTGGACACCCCTGCTTTAGTGGCTGAAACCTATAACTAACAGTTACTTGCGGTGGAACACTTGTTAATTATGTGAGTTGTTATTTTGCTCCGTTGTTCTGTGCAAATGAATTGAGGCACTCCAAAATAATAAATTAATAAATTAATAAATAATGAAAGAAAGGTGGATATCTGAAAATGTCTTGTGAGCATGTATGTATGGCTACTAGGCTATTCACAGGCAAATAGACTAAAATTGTAACTGGTTTACAGACAGGCTTTGTTACCAACATGAACATTGTTTTATAAACCTAGTCAATGCACAACAAATGTGATGCCATGCAAACTAAACATATTTCTGAAATGCCAAGTGGTGTTGATTTGTATTTTATTATGGGTACTGTCACTTTCCTTTTTTTTGCTTGCAGTCATTTTGGTTTAAGGTTCATTTTGTTGTGGCTTCAAGCTACTATGACACCATTGACTGCATGCAGTAGGAGCCTGACCTTCTTTCCTTTATTTACAGATATGACATAAACATGCATGGACAAATTATGGAAATATGCAGTTTCCCATGGAATCCATTCAAACCACTCTAAAATATAGATCATTATTAAAGGCTTATCATAGTTATTCAGGGTAAGACAAAAACATTGTATATAACATGAATTTATCATGTACTTGCGTATTATTTAAAGTTTGCTCATTTAAAAAAACATTGTATATAACATGAATTTATCATGTACTTGTTTATTATTTAAAGTTTGCTCATTTAAAAAAAAAAAAAAAAAAAAGTTAAGTGTATCTTTAAGGTTCCCATTGGTGCTCAGGCTGATTTTAGAGGCCCTATTCTCGGGCCCTTGCGATTACATAATGGAGTCAGGTCTGCACTTTTCAGTGTCCAATTCTGCTACAAAAGAGTGGGCAGCCCCAGGGGACGATGTCATCACCGTTAATCATGTGATTGACCTCCAGGCCACGCAGGTCTGACAGCTCCTCTTTTGGTATCTAATTTCATTCAATGTGCCTGACTCAGAATCAGTATTCAGAAGCCTGCTGAGCACTGAATCACACTCTTCAATCTCTCAATGCCTTGTTCAGTCAGCCATGGAACTAAAAAGGAGAACTGGGGAGCCGGCAACACCTCAGCAGGCATCTGTCTCTGAGGGGAGGCCTTTTTTTTTTTTTTTAGGGTTGTGAAAGAGAGATGAGAGTTGAGGAACACAGGTACAATTTGTCATGATTCCTGTCTTGTTTACCTGGCTTTCGTGTGGACTTTTAGTTTGTAGTTTTGCTTGGTTCTGGTTCCTGTTTCACCTAGTGATTGGTTTGATTGTTCCCAGCTGTGTGTTGTTTGTTAATTACCCTCTGTGTACTAGGGGTGAAACGATACATGTATTCGTACTGAACCGTCACGGTATGGACATCTCGGTTCGGTGCATGAGGCCTTACAACGAATACAGGCAACTCACCCCCAATCCAGAAGGGGGCGCCGGCAGCAATGCAACGCTGTTTGATAACCGGCCACCAGCAGAAGAACAGCGCTGGGTTTGTCCCTTTTTAACCCAGCATTTTTTAGAGTGTATTATTTATTATGTAAATTATAGGCTTTGTACTTCAGTCACGTTCCAACGGTGACACAGAGGAAGGCGCGCTGATGTTTGGTTCACGGTATTTTATTTTGATAAAGTACCAACTGCGCTGTCAAGTTAGCAATGCTGGAACTGCTGTGCCGTGTGTGTGTGTGTGTGTGTGTATGTGCGTGCGCGGCGCGATCACTTCAACAGGTACAATTTGTCATGATTCCTGTCTTGTTTACCTGGCTTTCGTGTGGACTTTTAGTTTGTAGTTTTGCTTGGTTCTGGTTCCTGTTTCACCTAGTGATTGGTTTGATTGTTCCCAGCTGTGTGTTGTTTGTTAATTACCCTCTGTGTACTAGGGGTGAAACGATACATGTATTCGTACTGAACCGTCACGGTATGGACATCTCGGTTCGGTGCATGAGGCCTTACAACGAATACAGGCAACTCACCCCCAATCCAGAAGGGGGCGCCGGCAGCAATGCAACGCTGTTTGATAACCGGCCACCAGCAGAAGAACAGCGAATGCCATGAGTTGCGCACTTGAAAACAAAGCCCACTAGACAGTGACCATGTGCTGATTCTGAATACTCACTGACTGAGTATACTTTAAAGGCTTGTGCACTCAACTGTTTG